GATCATCGTCATACCCATCAGCATCATCTGGATTCTTTTCCACAACCATGAGTTTCTTGCTTTTATTATGACAGCTATTCCGCTTCCTGCAACCACCCTGCACTTGAAACAACGGAGAGTTGAGCTGCTGCTCTGAACTCTAGCACCTGGACTAGCAGTATTTGGGCGATTAATAGGTGTTGCAATGGCATCCCTGCAGCCCCCAGATGATGCATCTTCAAGCCTTGCACCACAATTTTGAAATCGGCCTGTACGAAGACCCTAATCTCCTCTTGTGGTTGTGCTAGCCCTACTCCTGGACTATTGTTTCTCTACTGTCAAAGCACGTTGATAGGCTTATGAAACAATCCATAAAGGGTGTAAATTTAAGACGTGCTAAATTGATTGGAGTAGTCCTGCAATATATCAGGAAACCTATTGCTCTTCAGTCTCAGACAAGTTGTTTCGTGCAACTAGTTTATAGAACTCCGCAGTAAAATCATCATCAGACCACCCCGGTTGCCAAAGGGTATGAAGTTGCTAAAACATTGTCAAGGGGTGCAGTTAAAGGCCAAAAACTGCTCCCTCAACTTTTCTTCATCTTTTCTCAATAAGAGATTTCGATTTTCCTTGTCTTTCCCAAGCCTTTTTCAAATGCTCCCATCATGCTGATGCGCGATCCTTAAGCTTAATGGCGACGAGCTTAACCTTCCTATCATCAGGCACGTCCCTGTATTTGAAGATGCGCTCTATAATATCAATCCAATAAATAAATTCTTCCGCCTGCAATCCTCTCGCATACTCCGATAGATCAACTTCGATACCTAGATAGCAAGATCTGCTCTCCTGAACATGGGGCTTCCAAAGTGGAGTGTGCACATGGAACGGGTTCTCGAAAACAGCATCCGACTTACTACCCGTCATCATAGTGTGTCGGGGCTATATTTGGAACCAAGCACCAGGTCAGCTCTTTTACTTGCCTTCTCAAATTTTCGTTCTCTATCTCATGGAGGTCCCGCTCTAGGTGGATCAGCTCATTCCTGACACCTTGCTGTCAAGGACTTTCGTGAGCCATGAGCACCACGATCGCACAAGAATCGAGGCTCTTATACCACTTGACGTAACTGGAAATTCCTGGCGACTAACACCCCGCAAAAACAGCCACGTTTTAGAGAAGAAACAAAAGTTAGAGAAGAAACAGCAAGAAGATAGCAAAGTATGCGGATCCAAGTTCTCCACTATGTGCCCACGAGCATAAGAGGAAAACAAGAAAAACACCCACAGAAGATCTTCTCTCTCTCTCTCTCTCTCTCTCTC